CTACAATGTTTGAATCGCAACGATTCAATTGCTTTAATTTGCTCGTAGTATTCGCTTGCCGAATTAAGCAAATTAAAGCAATTGAATCGTTGCGATTCTAAACATTGTAGAGTCAAAAAGTAGCATTATCTAAAATACTTGAGTAATTAAGTAAATTAATTATTTTAATTATTCCATTTTGTCGTAATCAAATTATTATTCATAGTTTTCTTTTGATTTAAAATTCATTGACAAACAGAATGGATGGAGACATCAATAGGAGTGGACCAAGTTCCAAAAGAAGGAAATCAAACAACGAAGACAATAAACAGGAAGCAGTTGAAATTGCTGTTGCTGTTCGGAATGCAGAACCACTTCCAGATATTTTCAAACTAAATGTCGATTGTCTTGAAGAAATATTCGACTATTTGTCGCTGACGGATTTATCGGCTGTTGCTCAAACATGTAAAAAAATGCAAAAAATTGCCGGCTATTGTTTTCAACAATCTTATGGAGCTGCTAAAGGATCTATCGAAATGAATGACAGCATTTTTGTCAATACAGTCAAAGTAAATTGTTTTATGGGTTTCATGCAAAAAGTGAGCATCGACGATGATCATTTGTCCGATGAAGAGGAAGTGGCTGACAGTGAAGATATCGACATGCTCGACCGAATAGAATACAACAAGCCGCAGGATTTCATTGGTTTTTTGGGACAATTTGATTCGCTCAAAGAAATTGAAATTGGTTATGTCAATTTGACAATGTCTCGAATTGAAAGCATGAAAAACATTCTCAATAAGGTTGATTGTTTGACGATAGACGACTGCGAATATGAAGGTCAATTGCTCGACTCCATTCTTGCTTCGTGTTCAAATCTAAAATATCTATGTATGGATGGTTCGGCTTTAATTGGAAATGATAGATTGCAATGGCTGCACCGACACTATCCCAGGTTGAAAGGCATTGAATTATTGCCGGTCGTGAAAGATCAGGTGATGGAACTGAAAACTTTTTTCCTGCTAAATGCAGGCATTCAAAAATTGGCGATCGGCGATGAAACTCTTTGGCTCAACCGACAATTAATTACGGACATAGAACTCAAATTGGATGTGTTAGCAATTGAACACAACAAAAGTTGTAATTTGGATTTATTTCGACAACTACTGAATGAACTTTATGAACGTGGATTTTACAAACGATTGCATTATTATTGTCCGTCCGGTTTGCAACAAGAAATAATCGATAAACTGGCTTCAATGAATAGTTTGATGAAGCTCCGAGCAAAATCCGATTCACAACACTTCACCTTGTCCGCTTTGATCAATCTCGAGGAATTGTGCATTAGTAAGAGTTGTTTAATTTCTGACCTGAAATCATTACCCTTAATCCTCAATAACCTCAAAATGATCCATTTTGGTGAAGCTAGTTCTGACGATATTTTGGCTTTCATCAGTAGAGCAGTGAAAGTGAACAAAATCAAGGTGTTATTTTTATTGAGCGGTGCACATTTCGACAAATTTACGAATATTCTAGATTTATCAGCGCTGAACAAAGCACGTGAAAAATTGGCTGTCGCATCTAAAGTCACAATTTATGTTGCTGAAACCGTTTATTTGGCAACGAAATGGGTAATGGAAAAAACTGATTACAGCTTGATTGAAATGAAACGTATCGACTCGTACGATTGGCAACATGAGTTCACCTCCCATTATTATAAATATGATTATTAATAGAGTGTTGTGCTATGGGCTTCAATTTTTATTGGCCACTTTGTTGATGGCCAAAGAAATAAAAACAAAACCGCAGAGCTTTACTTCGCTCCGCTCTGCGTTCTTGAGTTTTTAGTTACTCAATCTATTTTGTTGTTTCACAACAAACTATTCTTTGGCGCACTACATGAAATGTATTTCATCAAAGTAACTTTGAAGTAATATATGCATTTGCAAAATGAATTACAAGATCTAAGTTTTATTTCTTTTTTGAAATATACTGCCTTTGGTTTAAATTAAATAAATAATATGAGCAAAGAATCTAAAATCACTTTAATTCTGTTCAAGACTCAGAAAATATTATACGAAAAATTAATGTAATTTTCAAACAACATTTGATAATAAAAATTTGATTGGCGCTTTGAAATATTATGCACTTATTTGTCGTTAGTGCACCTGTTTTAAACTAAATAATAAACATGAGCATTAAATTCAAATTCACCATTATTGGTTTCAGTACTCAAAAAGTATTAAGGAAAAAAAAGAAAGCATTTCATTTACAAATAAGTAACGATTTGAATTTAGAAGAAAAGTACTAGAATTTTTTGTCAAATGAAATAGTACATTGAATTATGCTTGACGCTAAATGTCAAACACCAAATATCAAGTATAATTCCATTGGAAATGAGCTAAACAAATAACACACTCGATCACTTCATTATCTGTTCTAGGTAGAACGATCAGTCTTAGTTGTATTTGAAGAGAACAAAATAAATACTTATTACAAAATTAAACCAACAACGTTATTTTATATGTCTGGAAGTATTTCTTTTTTAATTGTTTCTATTGAAATTAATTTATTATCAATCAGAATCGGATTGCTTTGACTTTTCTAGCCGAAATGAAGAATCTTCGTTCGGATATCGACTGCTCGTTCCTGAATGATTTAACTGTAGCGATTTTAATGATTCTCATATATTTTACTTGAAATCATTGGAAAATAAACTGAAAATTTGAATAAATGAATTTGCTGAAGGTGTTTATATTTCCAGTACTTAATAATATTTACTTAATCAACATGTTTACATTTATTCCAATTGTTCAAAAGAAATGTCAGTTCGGCAGATCGAAACTTCAGTAGGACTGTCACTTAATATCAACACTTAACGATTAACGATCAAACAAAAAATAGCATTCTTATTGTCCGTTCGTAGTACTTGTTCAAGGTAAAAATTTATTCATTTTTTCCTTCTCTATTATGGTTTATTTTTATTGCTGAATAATTGTTCGCGATTTATTTTTAAATTCTGGACGAAAATCAGAGTATTAATCGCACAAACATTTTTGTATAATCTTTTTTTTTTCATTTTAAACAGTGTTGATAAGCAAAATAACAAAAATGTATAAAGGAAAAGATAATGACGACAATGGCCCGAGCCCTAAGAAAAGGAGGTCAAACAACAAAGAAAACAATCAAAATCATGTCGTAGTTGCTATGGGTGCTTCAAACAAAAATTATTATCCCGATATTTACCGGTTAAATGTTGATTGTTTCGAAGATATATTCGACTATTTGTCATTGGAGGATTTGGCTATTGTTGGCCAAATTAGCAAGCGGATCCAACGAGTTGTTGGCCATTATTTTCGGCAGAGCTACGTAGCCGCTAGAGCTACTTTCCATTCTGATTTTGAAATCAACTATGTGTATGCTAAATGTTTCATCGAGTTTGTGCAAAAAATTAGAGTCATTCAATCGGACGAAGAATTTTGTAGGTTTCTCCAATGGAACCACCTTGAATCGCTCAAGCAAATTCGGCTGTACGATCAACATTTGACTCGAAATAAAATTGAGTGTATGAAACAAATTCTAAGCCAAGTTGAAGCTGTAGAATTGCTGGAATGCAAAATTGAAGGGGATTTCTTTGAATCTTTGTTGGTTTTCTGTTCGAATATGAAACGGTTATGTGTGGATGGAACAACTATGATTGGAACAAAATACAATTGGCTCCATCGGAATTATCCAACACTTGAACATTTTCAGTTATTAACGGCCATTGGGCTAAAAATTGATGAGCTGAAAGCGTTTTTCGAACTAAATCCAAATATTAAAAAATTGGCATTCGGTGGAAAGTGTTTCTGGGTGAACCAAGTGGCAATGTGGAATTGTAAATTGGAATTGGAAATCTTGGAAATTAAATATGATAAAAGAGTTGAGTTGGATTCACTTTGCCCATTTTTGAATGAACTTCATCGACGTGGTCTTTTCAAGCAGCTGCACGTGTATTTTGATCTTCCGTTTGGTTTTGAACAAGAAATCATCGACCATCTGGCCACTGTTGATGGACTAGTGAAATTGGTGGCGAACTCTCGCCATAGTTATATCAATATTTCATCTTTAATTAAATTGGAAGAACTATGCATTACATCATTAAATGATCTAGAGCATCTGCCAGACACTCTCACAAATTTAAAGCGACTTTATATACTAGAAGCAACTTCTGACGATATTCTGCCATTTATTCGGCGTGCAACTAAACTCACCAAAATTAAAGTGAATCGCATGTACTATGGAAAACACTTTGAACAATCCAAAAATATTCTCGATCTACCGGGACTAAATGAGGAGCGCGGAAAGCTGGCATTCGCAAAAAAAATTATGATTTATGTGAAGGAAGATATTTTTTTGGCGACAAAATGGTCATTGAAACAAACTGAATTTAGTTTGATCGAAATGAAACGAACAGACTCCATCGATTGGGAAATGGCATTTCAAATTGATCGATTTTAGAATGACGCGCAAATTTACAACAGACAGCTATATAATTTTTAAACCGATAAGCTTCATTCATTAACAAACATTATCGATACTTGAATATATATTTATAAAGGAATATGAAATATATCAACCATATTTGTTTGGCTCTATGAATCGGTTCATTCACATTGAGATCACTTTTGAATGACTCTTGTTATTGATTTAAAAATTTAAATACATATGCCGAAAAATATACATTCTTTATCAACTCTGTGGGCAAACAAAGGCAATTTACAATTCTGTTGCTGATAATAAAAATGGGAATATACACTTTGTTCGTACTGAAACCCAACATGAAATTTGTTTTTTTTTTTTTAATGTGACATGAATGAATTTTCGCTTCAAGTGGGAATTATTCACTTTAAATTTCAAATAAAAATCATTTTTTTATAACTTCAACATTCATATTGATATCACCGTGCAAAGATAATTGTGTTTATTCTTTATTTTACATTTTTTTTAATTTCTTTTGAATCTTAATAAATAGCGTTAACAATTGACGGACAATAGATTGGAACCTATTTTTATTTCTTTTGTTCTGAGTACTATCCATTTAATTCTCTTTCGTTTTCAACATGTCTACGATTGATGTGTTATCTGAAAATGATGGTGGTAAAAGTGAATGTTATGAAAGAATGCCATATGAATGGTTTGGAGCGAAAATGTAATACAGAAAAGTTGAGCGGAAAAATGTCGATGATGAATGAGCGGAAATGGGATAGCTATTTAGTAAACTGTATAGTAAACTATAGTGAACTGTATAGCTATCCCGTTTTATTAGACATTTTTCCGCTCAAATTTTCTGTATTACATTTTCGCTCCAAACCCTTCATAAATTCTTTACTATAATTAGTTTGGGATTCGGCAAAACTACGTGCTGTAGCTCCTTTGTTGTTCTTGATTTTAGTGTCAGCATTATTATCAATTAATATTTGAACAACATCTGCATAGCCTGTCAAATAAGCAATGAACTTTTAAAGAATAAGTTGTGTCAGTGGCTCTGAATAATTAGTTACTTATTTGAAAAATATAAAAAAATAGATAACTTTAGTTTTATATCTATTATTTATCTAGCTAATTACCGAACAAAATAACTAACTCACGCTTCTTTGTTTACTAAGAAAATAATTTCTCTTGCCCGTTTTCTTTGTGCAAAATGGGTGAAATATTCGTACCTCCAAACGCGTCCACCGAAGCTATAATAAAATAAAGTACAAACGCAGTGAACGATTCCATATTGGCTATATATTCGGTGAGTTCATTTGATAAAAATTCGAAAACAAAATTAAATGCTATTGAAATTCAAGGATAGAAAACAAAACGCGTGTTGCTTCGAAGAGAGCTTGTATTTGTACTGAAGCGATGAGCAAGTTGTGCAATTGGTTTTAATCCTATATCACTGCAGTTTGTAAATATTTTGTATGCCGTTCAGCGTTCATACATGCATGTCATTCACTCAAGATATTTTGCTCATATTTATTGATGAAATAAAATTCGTAGCTTGTTATTAGCGACCGTTGTGTGGCAAGCACCGTTTCGTTATCCACTATGATGTATCAAAATACGGCTGTACACTAGCGTCACATACTGAAGCAAACAAAACACATCAAACAAATGTGTGTTTAAAAAACTGAATTTTCGTCATTAAGCGCAGAATTGTGATTCATTTTGTTTTGTTAGTGCCATACGCGCCTTGTGTATAAGAAAGTGTCGTTTAAAGTTTAAGAAATGAATAGAACAAAGAATAAAAAAAATCGAAAAATAAGATAAATATTCTTATTTGTTGGTTGACATTCATTTCCTCCGGTTCATCTACTAGAATACAGTTAGTTGAAATTGGCCGGTAATAATTTATCCATCGTCGCCGGTTTGAGCGTTGCTGAAGTCGATGAAATGGTATGTTCATTGGCTCATAAAAATACCATGCGTAAAATAATCACTCGTGTGACAGAGTCAAGCACTCGGCTACGTGTACTACGACGAAAACAACGCAATTTCTTTGGAGCATCATAAATATTTATTTTATTTTATTTAATGCGATTGTATTCTTCGTTATTTGGTATCCGTATGAATGTACATGTATGTATGTGTGTGACAACGAAAGCACCACCATCAATTGGCGATGGGCGCAAAAAAACTCACAGCAACTCGTTCAATTATGCATGCGAATGTGTTTTGTTTGGTGTTGTGCGGGGCGTAGAAGATGGAAATTGGTGCGTAAAAATCGAAGTGAACGAAAATCTATTTTGCCCGATTAAAAGCGATTCTGTTGGTTGCATGCACGTGATACCATTTCGTTCATTCGTAAATTAATTTATCGCATTGCTCAGATATGTGCTCGTAATTTTCATTACGCTAAACTCTAGACATTACCATCGAATGTAATCTTGTTCTTGACTTCCCATGAAAATAAATATTCGTTTTTTCAATGCTGCTGTTGTTGCTGTTGTTGTTGCTGTTGTGTTCGCCGCATAACCTTTTGGTAAATCGATATTGATTTCGGTGGATAAGACACTCATCAATATCCCACAAGAAGCACATATATTTTGCTATTCGGATGTGTGTTGTTTGTTGTCCACATCCTGTCGACGGAGGTCGCTCCTTTGTCGAGTCAAACGCAACGGGACCCAATCGATTTCACTAAGTGTTGCTCATACAAACCCTATTTGTTTTCAATACATTTTTTTGTTTTGAAGATATTTTTGAGAATTCGTATTTAATTTTTCAATGAAACGACTTCTTTGTATCAAATTTGGACACGGATTTTCAAAGTCTCTTCCGGTAATACTTTCAAAGCTCATGCTTTCAAAATTTTTATTTGCTTCGAAACCTCAAATTCATGCCTTCGAAAACTAGAATCCCATTCAAATAGGTGCGATTGCAAAGAAAGATCAATTGAATGCGGTCGTGTTGCTTTAACCAAACAACTATTTCGCTTCGGTTTTAGTGGGAACTCTTTCCCCCTAAAAATATGTGAGGAGTGTGCAATCGAGATTTGGTGTGGAGGCGAAGAATGTTATTAAAATCGTCAAAGTGATGGCATTTTATGTATTTGGCATTGGCAGAGCAGCTGTCACACACACACACATAGCGTTTTGAAAGTGGATCTATTTAAATTTATTTGTTTCGTGTCGTGCTTTCGGGTTTACCGTGTAAAAGTGTTGCATGCAAATTGTCGAAAATGGCTCTGTTGTGAAATCAGACAGTCGAACCTCGTGCAACGTTGAAATGTGCCCAGAATTTTGCTCACGCACCAAAATCGAACCATTCACCCAGAATACCTTTGGTTTTGTCATAGATAGATTTAGATAGTCGCACAAGTTGAAACGAACGTGCCGTAGGAAATAGCAACCAAAGCACACGTTAGAATGGAAACTAGAGCTGAAACTATTTCGTATGCTAACGAGATCCAACGACAATGACCGTCATTTTAGATTTTCCAATTTTCATTGTCAACAAACGTTCAGCGACGGCGGCATGGAACACATTTTATTCATTCGATTTGACTTCGTCAAAGCCCATCAAACCCGAGCGATTCATTGTGGTGCTCTCTCTCTCTATTTTTGCTCCAAGGCACATACGCTAAAGCTACTGTCTGCCAGCAATAAAACTGAAAAATCACGTTCAAACATAACATAAACATGTGCTAAATATTCCAACAACGGAATCCGAATAAATTTTTGACAAGTGTTTACAATTATAATATGCTTTACGTCGAACGGATCTCAGTAATTTGAACTGAATTGGAGAACTGGGGCGGAAAGAGTGAAGACATCGTTCGATTGTGTGGTGGGGCAGTAGATTTCGATTTTGATTGCTATTTCGAGAAGACAAGATGAAATTTGTAACAATGCTTTGTTGCCGTCATGGCTTTTATTGCTCCTTTCAATCAAATAACTAACCACATGTGGCCACCAAAAACGATGACTAAGTTTTGTCTTCCCGTTCTGTAGTACCTTCGATAAGCCGCTTATTTCATTTCATTCCAATATTTCCGTTGCTAGGGATTATTTATATGTCAGCGACTATATTTCACTCGCATCTCCGGATCCACATATTTTATTGGTCTCTGTCTGTTGCGCTTTTTTATATATGTACATACATATATATTGTGTATGCCGAAATTTTTATAGGTAAGCATTTGTATGGTGCTTTATGCATTTGAAATAACAATAAAAATCCTTCCGCATCCTGAAGCTCTCGAAAAAAGCGCCGTAAACGACAGAAACACAGCAACAGCGCACATTGGGTTTCCCATTGTTTGATCCAACGCCATAAATTGTCTATAAAAATGCGTTTTTCCTTCGTATTATCAGCAAAGCGATGGATTTTTCTCTACCATAAACGTCATGTATGGCTGATACACCAAGTGCAAAATGACGCAATCGCCAAATTTGCGTCACATTAAATCGACATTAACCCATTTTACACCTCTGCAACCGGCAAAATAAACAAATACTTTTTGTTACTCGATGGTGTAACACACTTTTTCATTCGACAAAAGGCTAGGTTTGAAAGTTATCTATTTTCATTTGTATCTCTAGGCCTTTTTTCGTTGATGTCGTTCAACTGCTTATATTTATCTTCCTTTATGGTCACATCCCTGATACTCACCGGAAATTTGAGTGCATGTTAATTTTCAAAACGTTCCTATCCTTTAACTGGCCTTGCCATACAAACATTCAATTCCTTAGTAAACATCTTGGCATATGGAATAAGATCAACAATCACATTCACAAACATCTCAAACTGGAAGAGAAAAAATACAGTTCTTCGAATATTTGTTCCCTTTTTTTTTCTTAAGAAAACCATTAAATTACAGTCATTTCCACCATTTAATTCAACTTCAGCACGAACCTTTGGCGATGATAATCTCCGTGCAATTATTTCTAAATTAACACAAGCAGCAAACTCTTTCAAGCACGCAATTTGTCCCCTCGCCGCTTTTAATTCATCCCTTTGAACAGCTTGAACTAATTTAACCGCTTTTGAATGGTGCAAATTGACCCAGATTCTCAGGAGACGCTTCAGAACAACATTCTTTGTTTTTATAACCCGTTGGAAAATTGATGTCAACTCAATGGCTTTTGTTAAATCCGTTTTCTAAACCAAGCAATTTACACAGCTTCAGAAACTTCATCAAAGACTCAATGATCCTGTCGTACTAAGGCTTTCGTGAGAGTCTTGTTTGTCCGCTTCGATTAATCGTACGTAGATTTCAGCGGGTTTCGAGTTGACCTTTAAATGAAAGACATAAAATATATGTTGAGTTTAAAATCAAAATTATATTCTTATCGAAAACCAAGCGCAGTAATTTTTTTTCATGAATTCAAAAACAAAAGCATTTGGGAAACTTGAAATAAATATTGAACTAATGCAAAATTACTTTGAATTTGACACAAAATCTTTGAATAATACTTACAAGCGCTATAAAAATTATCGAGACTAACTGCAGTTTGTTTTTTGACCGGAACATTTCGTTCTGAAAATTTTGCTGAAGCAAAATAAATTTACACAAATTTTCAACTAAATTCCATTCAAAATTGATTTCCGTTCATTCGAAAATACAAAACCTAATCAAAACTTATTTCTTCAGCAATTACAAGAACTGCACTTAATCTGAATCTGAGTATTCAATTAACCTTCAAACCGTAAATTGGGCACTGTGTGCCCAAAACCAACTTTGAATGCTTATATCTTTATCATTTCTTATCATAAATTAATAAAACAAATATGGTTCAATTCATTGAATATTTGGCAACAAAAATTGCGTTAACATATCCACATACGCGCACTAGCTTACCACATATGCGCGTAAACATGTGTGATACGTTATACGTAAAATGGGTGCATGAGTGCCCATATACATTTTTCGACAAATTGCGTATAAAAATTAATGCGGAAACTATGAAATATACATCATTGGAAAGATCTTGAAAAGTACATGTAATTTGAGTTATAAGACATCAAAATCGATCATCATTTTATCAAAATATGGCCATTTTATCAATTTTGGCCAAAAAAATTCCAACGGCCAAATATTTTCAAGACCTTTCTAGTGGTATACATAACTTTTTGATCCAACCTGCCGTTCAAAATCTCAATTTTCGACGTCAAAATCGGCCATAGTGGAATTTGTATGTATATGTTTTTGCCTTAATTTTTGTGAAGAGATCAACATTGCAATCTCCACTTTATTGAAAAAATTCCAAAAAAAACTTGCTGTTGTCTTTCATAATTCGATTTTTATGACTTTCATCACATTTCAAAGTAATTTTCATACTTTTCCGATCAATAAATACTGAAATATTTACATTTAAAAATAAAAATTTAAGAAAAAACTGACATTTCATATATAAAATGCATTATGGGCACTCAGGCACCGATTTTACGAACAACGTTAGAAAATACATTTTACGGTTTGAAGGTTAAACTCCCTAGGAAAAAATATGAATGAATCTTCGGTGGAACAAAGCAGATCTGCTGAGTTGGAAATTGATAAATTCGTCGCTTGAAATATGGTGTGAATAAGACGTGTTGTCGAGAGCAGCGGCACTTGTATAAACAAAGACATTCTGTAATTTCAAAGTTGTTGCCATCGGCAGCAATCAGCATGTGTCATCCACCAATGGATATTTATTTTTGAGTTTCAGTCGAAATTAAATTGAGCAAATGTGTCTGCTTTAAGGAATGTCTCTCTCTCTCTCTCTACGAATTGTATCGAGTTGGGAAAAATGGGTTTGGATGGGAAAAATCACGTTTCAATTTTAGTGATTTGTGGTCCATTTTTTCATTCATCGACCGGTCAATTTGGGGAAGAGGGAAAAAAAGCTAAAGAAAATTGATTTCAGCCAACACGTCGCATTCTCTATCCTAAATCACCGAGAATAAATCATCTTCGATTTGTTGCGGAAATAGAAAATTGGTCACGTTTGCAACAGTTTTGAAAATTTCTCACTTCCGGTCTGGTTTTTTTTCTTCTCCTTGTTGTAGCGAGCATAGTTTAATAGCGTTGGTGCCTCCCATGGTGCCTGGACACATTCAAGTACTGACTGGCCTTTTTAAAATTATATATTTTGGCAATGGGAAAAATCATTCACTTGAATTTTCAGTTCCAACCAAACAAATCGCAATTTTCATCTAACAGGAGCCATTTTGTACCATCATTGATAACGTTACTTGCTTGTAAAGCACTCAAAATTGATAAAAACTAGCGAAAATTGGAACGGAAAATGTAAGGGAGTTGAGAGCTTGATTTTGGTGTTTATGTGATTTGGGATGATTTTATAACCAAACGGATGAAAAGAAAGCGAGGAGTAGAGACCGAGTGAAAGGCATTTTGATTATTATTACCGTTGTTGGCCATTAGTGGTCATTTCATTTCATTTTTCTTTCCGTGTCGGTGAATCTGTCGTCTCTTGGGGTTCTTTTTCCATCGTCGTTGAGCATACTGTCTTTCCAATTTTCTTATCATTACTTCGAGTCATGTGGCAAAATCCACAATATAGATCGTAAATACACGTGTTGAACTCACAAACGCACATCATTCCATTAAAATCGTCCTCGGAGAATGGACCTCGCTTGAATGTCACATTGGCAAAAGAAAAAAAAAGATAGAAAAACCCTACGCATGGACGTGGCTGTGATTTTTCACAAGAAGGTAATCCAAAGTAAAAAAAGAAAGAGGGAAAAATGGAAAATAAAGCACAAAAGTCGTTGAAATAACCATCCCGAATCAAGGGCCGTATGTTTTTCAAGTCGTCGCCACATACACGCAACAGAACAACAACAACAAACAAGATGCCTTACATTCGTAAGGTTAACTTTTCTCAACGCTATGAAGCGCAATGGTAATATATTCAGCAATTCCAAAACCTTTCAGAGTTGCTTTTGTCCCTATCGGAAGTTCACTGACTTGAATCATAAATAACGTTTGAAATGTCATTTCTTACAGACATTTCTGCATTTTTTTATACTTCCAAACTAAACCGTATAGATGCCGTTAGAGCATGCATTGCTGAATATTTTCCATTTATAGCGCATATTGTTGACTTTTCTACACTCCTTTTTCAAACATATAATTTCCAATTAAATCCAATTCTCCATGCATTGAAATTAGGAAAGCATCATATTTTAATCAGACCTTAATATCAGAGCGATTTCAATACTCTGTTTTTCATACATTGTGACATAGCAGAATTCTTACCGTGTTTTTGCGTACAGCGTATAGTGTACCACGCGCCTACCCTACATACCATGAACAACGCTAGAATTCGCGATTTTCGGCGTTTAAAAATCGGAAAAAACTGCTTTTTAATAGATCAAAAAATCTGGGGTGAACGCTATTCACATTTTTTGCGTACAGCTTACAGCGTACAGTGTACCACACACATACCCTACGACCCTAAAATAACACTCGATTTTATGATTTTCGGCGTTCGAAAATCTAAAAAAAACTGATTTTTAGTGGGTCAAAAAATCTGGGGCGATCTCAATACATTTCTTACACGACATGGTCGTGTGGAAAAGTAAAATGGAGATAGAAAAATTAGATAAACGAATAACCGTAATAATCGCTTATGCTTCAATTCCCCAAACGACAAACCGGCCAAATACATAAAAAAGTGAAGCGACGCCAAGTCCCAAACAAAATAGTCAGGATAAAGAAAAATAAACTAAATAAACCGAAACATATAAATAAATCGACATTTCAATGCGAGACTTTTCATATTTCTTTTTTGCTTGCTGTTGAGATGGTTTTGTGGCTGTTGAGATGGTTTTGTGGCTGGTGCCCGGCAACCAATGTTTGACGTCGCAATTGAATGGTTAACATATCCGTTTGCAGCATTTTGTCCAAAAGAAAATTAGTTATGAAATTGCGGAATGAAATGGCAAAATCGACTTGATGTGCACACATGTGGACGAAGCGCAAGAAGAATGGACAGAATGAAACCCGACTCATAGAAATCCAGTGAACAGTATGTTTTCGGCCAATTTCAAAATGCGCTTTTCGCATTGACTTTTCTCTTCCCAATCTCTTCTTCCTTCCATTTCATGTGCCGACTGGCTGCCGTTTGATTCGATCTGGTTTTTATATCAATCGTTTCAAATGAACGACAACAAATGTCCAGTCATTTGACATAATAGAAAAATCATGACAGCATTAAAAAGAAACCAATATTAATGTGAATGGCAAAAATATTGCGATGGCTTTGAATCTCATCCAGCCAAACATAAATAATACCCAACACACACACACACACAATGAAGTCGTGCCACCAACGACCGATTTCGATAGATTCGGTACACAACTTTTCTATGCTTCACTTAAATCGATAGCATGCTTCGATATAACTCCCGTTTTCAGAACATTGTAATTTTTTTTCTTCGTAAACAAACAAAATGCACACATACAAACACAATAAATCCGGTTTTCATGGAAATTTTATCCGCGCCAAATCTACCTCCAAAGCTGACATCATACTGACTGGCCCCATCACATTCGCAAACCAATCGAATGCCAATCAATTCTCTTCTTCTCATTTTAACCACACCAAATGACGCTCATTTTCTGTTGTTTGCGCTTACACAAGTTTTTTTGCTTTTTGCTTTTTGTTTTTTTAATTTCTGGATCAAATGCGCCGTTTCTTGGAAAAATGAAATCATGAATAATGTTAAAAAGAACGACAATTATTCGTTAATTCAAGAAAGAAAAACTAAGACATATCATTTTTGGGAGGAATCTGGATTCCGTTTGATAAAAGAAATGTTCAAATTAAGACAAACAAAAATGTTTTTCGCTTCAACGGAATGTATTTATCAATGAGATTAAAGATTAATTTCGCCTGAAACTATGCTAACAAGAATGACTCATTCAAATCGAATGCGTCGTTACAGAAAATAGCAACAATTCATCTGCTTAAGCAAAAAATATATTTTTTCAAGAATTCTACCTTGTTATTCAATTTTGTTTCGTGGGTATAATAATATTCAACCAAAATATCAGATTACAACAAAGTTTTTCTTCATACAATAAAAACTTGTCAAACGATATTTGGATTTAATAGATATGAACATTGAACGATAAAAATTTCTTTGCATAACATAATTTAAAAATTCAATAAAAGTTCATATTAACTTTTATAGCATTTGACGAATTTATTTCAAAGAAATTCTCAATTAAATAAAAAGTGTTCATTCTCACGCCAACAAAACAAACAATTGGTTTCCTATAGATTTGACAAGCCTGTAAAAAGGTGCAGTACTAGAGTCATGCGCACGAACGAGTGGACCAGCTGATTTTGACAGTACTTGTCATTTGATTCATACTGAGTAAAAAATGTAAATCAAAAGTGAAGGCAGCGGCTTGGAGGCAACAGCATTATCAACTTTATTGGGAACCAAAGTCAATTAGTAGCATGTTTGTGTCTACCGATTGAACATTAAGTTCTCATTCTCTTCAATCTTCACACGACAGTTTTTTGTGATATTTTCTTCTGTTGATTCTGAAAATGAATATGATTTGACGATCCAACGAATAAAATTGGTGAATTGAGCGGTAAGATTTCTCATTTAATTTATAAATACACAGTGTAAATAGAGTGTCGCAAATGCGAATCGATGTTAATATTTTGTCACTTGTGTGTGTGAGTGTATGTGTGAGTAAATAGAGACGAATGGCAATGAACGTGATATTTCCAACTTGATTTTCAAGCAAATTACGATTCACACTCCGGTTCTATTGCGAAGATTTTGTCTCAAAAACACTTTCGATAGAATTTTAGAATAAATTGTTGTTTGTTTTCATTAAAATGATGGAAAATCGATTTAAAGTTCTAATTCCGTGATAAAACTCATTATATTAATATTTTCGGTGCTTGCTGAAACAAACAAAGAACATACAAATTAAAACAACATTGAAGTGCCCAACTGCCCACGTCTATAATGTATTTTATCTCTTGGCAACAATACGTATGATAGTCATATCAACAACATCGTTCATGTCAGTCTCTGATTGGCTACTTACGATCGGGCGCAAAGTCATTAAAGTGTTTATTTTTCATCGTGATTTGCCACTTTTCTTGATAAGATGATAAAATGATATGGAAAGTTAAAATAACTAAATACGTTTCATTCAAGACGTTTTGTGAGTAAATTTTCATTATTTCTGTTAAACGAAATTTAAAATAGATGCCCAAAAGTGCTGATGCGTATTTGTGATTGATTGAAACGGTTTTTAAGGGTTTATCGGTTCAAGAAAGTGTTATGAAAAATATAAGACATTTTTTGTCGTTTTCGTGGGAAGATGTTTATTTTTTTCTTTCTGAAATTCTATATATAGTTACATAACAATAACCTATCAAATTCATCTATAAACAAATATGAAAACCGAATTTGAACATGTTTGTTCTCGATTTGGGAAGAATTTGTTTTGAAATCACATAAATCTCAATTTTGTTAAGGCGCTTTTTTCAAAGAAATAATGTTCTTTTTTCAATTGTAAATTGTCGTCACTTATTTTTAATCATTCTTGTTCACACTTGGATTTATGACTAAAACTTGCAAATTTGAAAGAACACATCTCCCGAGCTAATAAAATAGAAGTGTTTTTAAAAAATATGTAGGGGAAAGTGGAGAATGGTGAAACGCACTTTTACCTAATTTAATGACATGCTAAAAAATGAACATTTTTCCAAATTCCCAACTCGTACGATATAGTTCGTGTATAAACCTAACTTTTGGCACTTGTCGCTTGTTGAAATTCGAATCGGCTTAAAAAATTTGCCCTGTCGGCAGAAAACTCTTGATTTTTCGATTTTAAAAAATGGTGGGGAATTGTAAAACACTTCATAAATCGATAGAAAACTGAAACAATTTTGATGGAAAATGTTTATGGAAAGCTAGAAAATGATAAAAGAAATCATTTCAATAAAGAAGAATTTGAAAAATAGCGATTGTTATTAGTCGGATTTGCAATTGTTGCCTGTGAAATAGCTGCTAATCGTTGCCACAGTATACTATATTTCAATAGCCGTCTTACGACGCACGTTCGGATTGCTTTACACATATAACGAAGCGAACGCAAGCGAGCGTCGCAAGATGATGGCCATTGAAATATCGTACACTGCGGCAACGCAAGCAGAAAATTATCGCGCGATATTTATGCTATAACTGCCTTATGCGATGCCGTATTTATGCGTTTCGGACACATTGCATTTTGGTGCATTTCAAGTGAACAACTCGAGCGCATAAATTGCATTGAATAATTTGTCAAATTTTTGCAAGAAATGTAATAAAAGTGCATAAAATATGCGAAATTGACTTGAAAAATTGAAAAAATTGCTTGACCAAATTTCCCCACAAAGGGTGTTTCACAAGTGGGTGGGCACCACTAAGGTTTGAAACTTGATCGTGTTTGGGATCAATGAATGTTCATGCAAAATTCCATTTGTGAGTCGAAAAATTAATGGTATACGATAATTAAAAACATATTCATCTGAGTTGATTCTTCAAAAAATGCTGTAAAATCAATGCAAACATGAACGGTGAATACAAATATTTGGGACCTCATTTTCGAAAAGTCCTCGCAGAGAACTAACGTTACAAGCACACGCATTGAGTGATATTGGAAAAAAGAGCTTATACTAAGACAAGACTGTGACAGTTTTTTGAATCTGCCGAACAATCCGAATTGCTGAGAAAACGAAGTGTTTCACAATTCCCCACGTTTCACCATTTCCCACTCTCCCCTAAGTTAGTTTTTTTTTAATTTCATGAAAAAAATGTTCAGGCGGATAAATACATTGGAGTAAAAAATTTATTGCTACTTATTTTGGTAATTGCACACTCGTATGCCGCAGATATCACCGAAAGTGAAGTGATAAAATGAAATCAAGTTAAACGTGATGTTGATTATTTGTCAATTGAAGTGCTGTAAACCGATGTGGTTTGGCAATGATATTGATGTAAAGGTGTAACGCACCGCAATCATTAAATTTAATTACATTCCGGATAAATAATTACATCATATTAGTAATAAATCTTGATTTAACTCTACTGACCGCAAATAATCCTTTGTAGCGAACGAAATAGAATTAAACATAACATGTCAAGCCATACATCAATGTCACTTTACTCTTGTGAATGATAGCACAATTGTCGATATTTTTGAATCAATTTCGACAATGTCATCGTGTGTCGGTCGTTTTTGATTTGATGCTTCACACTGTGTTAACCATTAGATCACTTTTGATGTCTCTGTTTACATCATTCAAATGAATGTTTTGAATGAAATCGAATGAAATGTGGCGCATGTTGTGCGAGACAGCGATATGAGTCGTTATACAGCATAAGTTTTGCCTTGTCGCTTACAAATTGTCATTTAAAGGCACAATTAAAGTACATATGTGATGGACAATGATTAGCCGCTTATATTTGATAAGATATAAATGCCAATTACTCAGCACATTTTTAGAGATATTCAAATGATTCACTTTCGAATAATACTTCCTGGATGCTAATAAATTTAATTTTTAGTCCTCAGGTAAATTGAATCAACCAAATTTACAAAGGGATATAATTTGATAGTTAGATAAATCAGCATGGCAATGAAAGTGGCACTTGCTATCCTGGGCACATTCCTTGGATGTTGCTCCAATGTCGTTGTCCTCGAGTATATGGTGAAGTGAGTAAAACAAAATATTGTATTTGACTATTTATTAACAATGTTTTTTCATCGTTTCAGAATGGACCCTGGATCCGGAAATCTAGTAACGTTCGCACAATTTGCATTTATCGCATTGGAAGGGTTCATTTTCACTTCGAAATTCGGGACCGAGCCACTTAGAATCGGGTACAAAAATTATATTATTCTAGTCGTGATGTTCTTTATTACCAGTGTATGTAACAACTACGCTTTCGATTTCAATATTCCAATGCCATTACACATGATATTTCGAGCGGTAAGTCAACATTTATTTTTCATTTTTTCTTTGAAAAATAACACAACTAATCATCCTCTTTCTTATCCATATTTTCGGTTCAATTCCAGGGCTCGTTAATTGCAAATATGGTAATGGGAATCGTAATACTGCGGAAACGTTATGATTTCTCCAAATATCTATCGGTTTTGATGATAACATTGGGAATTGTTATTTGCACGATCGTCTCTGGGAGCAGTGTCGTGAGTATATTCAATTTATAATGCCATTTCCGAAAATTAAAACCATTTCGAATGGGGTTATTCTTTTTTACTCTAACTCCAAACATTCAGGAAAGCACGGCCAATCCAGATTTAGGAAAGGAGGATACAAGCGGCTATTCGGTGTTCTTTTGGTGGGTGTGTGGCATTTCATTGCTAACTCTAGCTCTATTCATTTCGGCTCGAATGGGAATTTACCAAGAGGTTCTGTATAAACTCCACGGCAAGCATCCACGTGAAGCGCTTTATGTCACCGTAAGTTGTTC